TGTTTGGTGGGCACACAGTGCATTTGCTCCAATCCCTTTCCCCCAAATGGGATTTTTGGGGATGTTTTTGCCCATTTTGGGGCCCTCCCCGCCCTGGCAATGCCCACCCCAGGCTGGCACAGGGCACAGAATCCACCTTGCCAGTGCTGCCACACCTTGGACCTTGGCATTTGGCTTTGGGCACACCCTGGCATTTACTGCCACGCTCTGCTTTCCTCCCTTTCTCCACTGAATTCCTGCAACTGCTGCTCACCTGCCCTGTGCAGATGATGCTCAGATCTGCTGGGTTCTTCCTCATCCTCCTCCTCTTCCTCCTCCCCTCTCCCCCAGCCCCAGAAGAGCAGCAAAAGCTCCACGTAACCAATGGCAAATTCCTTGAGTGCAACGTAATGGGCTGGGAAGCGCTTCCCCATCTCGCCTGGGAAAAGCGATCCTCTGGCAGCAGGGAGGAGGAGGAAAACATGCTTTGTTTTACAAATCCTCTCCCCAGCAGGAGAGACACTCCCAGAATTTAATATACTGACGGCGCTTGGCTGCCTTAACCACTGAAACTCACCAGTATGGGGGAGAAAATAAAAGGAAAAATAAAATTGCCATGCTCTGTAATGTTCAAACCTATCCTGCTTTGCAGCTGGGAAAAATGGAGCTGGAATTCTCCCAGCTGGATGGTGTGAGGGGTTTGAGAGTGGGTTCTCCTGTCCCAAGTGCTGGACACCCTGAATAAATTCATTTTTTAGCATCTCCTTGTAGGAAAGCAGAGAGGATGCTGCCAGGTAAACCTGGGAAGTCACTCCATGGCAGAGAAATTCCAAGTTATTCCGTGCAGGAATCACTTCCAGCAGCTCCCTCCAGGTGACCAGCGAGCCTCTGGCAACCCCCAACACCAGCCTAAAGCAAATGTTAATTATTTCAGTGTCTTCCCACTGCATTTATGCCAGAGGCATCCTCCCTGCAGCACCTGAGGGAAAACACCTCGGCCAAGGAGAGCACATATAAAAGTTGGGATTTGGGGGGTTTGAATTTTGGGCTCCAGAGCAGAAAGGAGGTAAAAGAAATGAGTGTTCTGTGCCTCAGGAGCTCGATGTTAAATTAGCCTGGCTGTGCCAGAGGAGCACAAACCCTTTGGAATGGCTGCTGGCAGCAGCAATAACAGGAGGGTTATTTTGGGGGCAGGCAGTGGGATCGAATTGCCTCCACAGCAGAGACCACTGCTGACCTCTCTGAGGAAGCAAACTCTGTCTGCTCTTCATGCTTGTTATATTTTTAAACAACAACAACAACAAAAAAAAAAACCAAAAAAAACCAAAAAAAAAAACAAAAAAAAAAAACAAAAAAACAAAAAAAAAAATCACTTTGTATCTCAGTATTTTATAGTTGTTTGCAACCTCCAGGCATTCCCAGAAACACAAATGAATCCTTACAGGAGCCTGTAAGGAAAACAGCATCGCTGCCACCTCAGGGGAGAGAGAAGGATGAGAAATTCTAAATAAATTCTAACTAAATTCTAAATAAATTCCAAATAAACGGATGGAACGCAAAGGCCACAGTGGACATTGATGCCAAGGATAGGACTGGAATGACAGGATTGTATACAGGATTGCAGCCCTGCTCTGATTATCAAACACACCTTTTGTGGGGGCAAAAAAAGCCCCCCAGACCTTGTCTTGCAGCGGGTGGTAGGGCAGGGTGTTATGGCACAAAAAACCAAGATTTTCAGCTCTGGCCATGGGCTCATCCTGCTCCAAAAGGAATCGTGGAGGGATGCTGTCAGCCACCCCTCAGCAGCACGCTGGGCTGCCTTCAAAGCCAGCTCAAGTCAGTGGAAAGGCTCCCAGTGACCTAAATGCCTGGGATTTCAAAAAATCTCTGCTGAGAGCTGGGCACCAGGTCACTGGGTTTGCTGGGAAAACCCCAATTTTGCTGGAAAACACCCAGTTTTACAGCAGCACCTGCATGGAGAACAGACACCCTAAAAATGGCTCAGGGAAAAGTCTCTGCCCCACTGGGCTCATCCCCCCAGCCCTTTCCTTCCCCCCAAATCCTCCCTTTCAGGCTGAGACACCCCAAGGGAGCTCTGGAAGGTTCCAGCTGGAGTGGGAACAACCCCAGGGGTGCCTTGGAGCCCTGCTGAACCATCCCCTCCCAAAATGCAGCTGCTGGAAAGCTCCAGAGCAGCCAGGATTTGTTCAGTGGGGCATCCCACACTCCCTCCCTGGAGGCAGGGATTGATATCACCTCATTAAAAACCTGCCTGGAGTCTATTATGGTATCTAGGACAGACAGTTCTCTGTTTTGACACTCTAAGATATATTTTATCAGAGAGAGCTCTTCAGAGACAATCAGTGCCAGAGATGCACCTGACTGTAACAGGTTCATTGCTTCCCCCAGCAGTTTGAGATTAATTTTTAGCTTTTTCTTCCCAAATTCCAGCGAGATGAGAGGGTTCCCCCGTGGTCAGGTTTGTCATTAGGGCATCCATGGTGACACATGCCAGCTCCCTCATTCTGCACAGAGAGTGAGGACAGACCTGAGAAAAACCAGCCTGGAGCCAGGGAGAACGTGACAGTGATTCCTGGCACTTTGCAGGCCCCAAGATTTATTTTTTGGGGAGGTGTTTGAGATAAACACCCTCTAAAATTAGCACCTGCCCTTCTGCCAGCTCCAATGGGCTGTGACAGCGATAAAGATTTGGCGTGGCTGAGAGGGTGCAACATTTGGGCTCTGATCTGCTGCCCAACTCAGCCCCCATGGTCCCACAGATCCCAAATGGAGAGGTCACTGTCCCAAGGAATTCCGCCCCCAAATCCCAGAGAGGCAGCACACTCCTCTCAGGAAAAGTATTTTATCCCAAAGTTGAAAATGGGGAGAGTTCTCCATAATAAAAACCAGAAATCATATGACACAGTTCAGATTTCTCAGCTGGGCTGCTCTGAAGATAATCCTAAACCTGCAGGGCAGAGGGAGAAATGGAAATGGGCTGAATGGGGACAAGCCCCAAACAACACATCCACTCATTGAAAAGGATCAGAAAATGGTGTGGGGATGAAATGCTATCAGCAAAAAAACACCAGCAGCAACCCCCAAACACAAAATCCCAAAAGAAAACCAGAAAACCACTAGCAGCGAAACCCAAACACAAAATCCCAAAAGAAAACCAGAAAACCACCAACAGCAAACCCCCAAACACAAAATCCCAAAAGAAAACCAGAAAACCACCAACAGCAACCCCCAAACGCAAAATCCCAAAAGAAAACCAGAAAACCACCAACAGCAAACCCCCAAACACAAAATCCTAAAACCAGAAAACCACCAACAGCAAACCCCAAACACAAAATCCCAAAAGAAAACCAGAAAACCACCAGCAGCAAACCCCAAACACAAAATCCCAAAAGAAAACCAGAAAACCACCAACAGCAAACCCCCAAACACAAAATCCCAAAAGAAAACCAGAAAACCACTAGCGGCGAAACCCAAACACAAAATCCCAAAAGAAAACCAGAAAACCACCAGCAGCAACCCCCAAACACAAAATCCCAAAAGAAAACCAGACTGGAGCAGTCCCATGGACAAACTATAGGGCAAAAAACCAGCTCCCCGTGCCCAGCTGAGATCTGAACAACTTTTCCCGGCTGGCAGAACTGGTTACACCGAGCAGCCCAGGGAGAAAACCCGAGCTGGAAGATGGATCTGCTTTAGGTTTGCATGGAAAACTCAAAGCCCTGCGCACCCCAGAGCCTTGAAAACGCCCAGAGCACTCGGGTGTTTTTATCAGCACCTATCAGCAGGAAAAGATTAAATGCTAATTTGCTTTTCTGTTTGCTCACATCAACTTTCCGTCCTGTTGCTTCCCAGCTAATGCCCAGCTCAAACAGATTTTTCAAGGCAAAAGGTCTCGGGCTCGCTACAATTAATTCCCCATTTCCCCAGAGTGGGGAGTGGGGAATTCTCGTTTCTCCCAGCCACAGTCAACACCAGCAAAACTCCACCAGGCGATTGTGTGCGCCAAAAAGATAAAGAAGCAACGCTGCCAGCTCTGGGTATTTGTGAGCCAGCAAAGAAAAGAGCTGATTCTCAAAAGCTGCCAGCTCCAATTGCCTCGGCGCTTTTCCGGAGCTGCTTGAAACACCAAACTTTTGGAAAGTTGAGTGGGAACCACTTGGAGCAGGCTGCAAACCCCAGAGCCACAAGGCAAAAGGGAAGGGGGAGAAACACAGCCGGCAGCGTTTGGTGGCTGCAGACACCACCGAGCACCTCCCTGGGGGTATTTCCCCCTCTGTGACACCCTGACCACCCTGCAGCTTCCCCAAAATGTCACCACGCGAGTCAGAGCCGCAGGAGCGGAGCGCGGCCGCTGTTTGCCCCCAAAAGCAGCACCAGTTGTTCTCCAGCTCTGTTTTCCCCAGCTCAGCCCCTTCCCCCGGAGAAAGCCGCCCGTGCTCACTCACCTGCCGCAGGTTCTTCAGCAGCTCGGTGGCTTCCTCCTGCCTGCCCTGCTTGACCAGCAGCAGCATGTCCTGGATCATGCAGATCCTCCGGTGGTACGGGGGCAAACTGGGGCCGGCGCCCTTGCCGAACTTCTCGCCGGACTTGGCCACGAGGGAAGCCAGGAAATCGCCCCTTTCCCTGGGGGCCGCCTTCCTGCGGGGCTG